CGTTATTTATTTCTAATTTTTCCAAGAAATTTAGTGTCTATATTTATGTGGACTTTTGAAGAAACACTACTGAGAGTGGATGAATCCCAAGAAAGTCACGCGCGCTTGTGTTGGCATATTCGTTGAGTGGATCGTAAATTGATTTATAAAGATTGTGAAATTTCAGAAATGATGGGACAATTTGAAATTACCAAAAAATCATCAAAGACACTGAAATAATGAAATTTGAAAAAAAAAACCTAAAGTGAGCACGTGATTGATTGTAGACACCACCAAAACAAAGTATGTTTCTCAGAAGCTGGACATGTGTATGTGCTTCAGACTCTTTTTGGTTTGTGTTCGCCACGTTCCTCTTGTCTCTCTCTCTCTTTCATATTATTAATTAGATATACGTTACATCCAGAAAATTCGACATAATTTTTGTTTTGATGGAGAAAACTAGTCCATCTCCATCAATGAGTGTGAACTGTTGTGAAAATTTCCGGACGAAATTAAAGTTTGTTTACGTTTAGAAGCAACATTTTATAACACCATGACACAGTGTCCGAATGTCCATAAAATGTATACTAGTGTTATTGCTATATAATTATAGGGGTTTTTACTGGTAAATTTAGTTTTAATAGGTTTTAATCTTCTCAAAACATGCACTATGTTATTTTAATGGTAATTGATCAGTTAGATTCAAATTTAATTTGTAATAGTGTTCTATACTATTAGAAACTATAATTATCATCACTAACTTTTATGGATGGGTTTATTAAAAAAAAGAGAGAGTATATCACTAGCTATTGTTTTTGTTACATATTTCCCACATACTAAATTATTGGGAATTGGGTGAATAACCTTTTTATGTCTAATTTATCCATATATCATATTTTCATAAAATATATACAGATTTTTGAAAATTTGAAATTAAAATTCATATTTTTAAACCAAAAATATCCATATCCAAGCATCATATGATTCAAAAGCATATTTCAGCATTTGAAGAAACTGATTGTGTGTTAAAAATTGGGAAATTGGCAAAAATAACTAAAGAAAATCTATAATCTAAAAACTAACCAATTTTCACTTTTT